CCCCATTCCTGCAGCAAGTGTATGTCTCTCAGTGTCAGTCTGTCTGTGCACTGACAGCTTCTTGGCTTTTTACACATTTCGCTAACTCCTCTGAGTTTTATTTCTTGCCTCTCTACTCTTTGTGAAAGATGTCCTCCCTTACCAGACTGGGATTTCTTTCACTAAATTATCCAGCAAGGAGCATCTTACTGTTTCTTTTAAGTTCTAATTCTGTGTGCTTTAACATACCTGCGGATCCCATTTCCCTTATTTCTGACTTCTTCCACATACAGACCTGTGCAACCAGTATCCTAGCATTCAAGTTATTTACTTCTCCTGGCAAGCTCCTGCGAGTCTGTACCAGATTTACTTACCTCTTAACTCTATTGCAACCAGCTGGGTTATACTGTAGAAATAAGTAAATACAGTAAATGGTTCCTTATCACAGTCAGTGGAACTATGAACAAAATCCTGCAGTGAGTGCAGATTGCTTTTGACATTGAAGCCATTGACGAATTCAGACCAGCTTGCATGAGCCTGACATAACAAAAGAAAAGGAGGGCCAGCTATGTTTCTGCTTTTCTTTCTTTTCCAACCTACTTATTTTGCCATTTCCCAATCCATTTTCTCTGCCTCTCTGGGTATTGAAGCTAGGAAGTTAGGAGTTTTCATGAACATTCTCTCTGCCCAAAAAAGACTGTCCAGGCCACTATTGAAATCATAGAGTAACAAACATTGTTTAAAATATTGATAATATTTTGTTGAGTTTCATCTGCAGTAACTCTTAGAAATTACAGTTGAATCTAATTCCAGATCAGAACAATTCACTAGAACAAATGTGATTTGGGAAAATAATTGCTCCTGCAGTCAGAGATTCTCACATGAAAGTTGCTAATCTCTGTTTCTCTGAAATTAGTAATCAGCAGGACATAAACAATTAATCAATTAATATTGCAGTATTGTTCATCAGAGTTTACTTGCACATGGAAATTTTTACAAAGAAACATACTACTGTATGCCATAAAGGATCAGTTCAGTATCCTTAACTGTTACTGATGCTCTGTAGTTTGTTAACAGACACCTCAGTCTTTTATTATTGTATGTTGACATAAGCCAGACTCAGGCATTCACTTAAGTCAGTGTTGTCCAACCTTGGCCACTTTAAGATGAGTGGACTTCAACTCCCAGAATTCCCCAGCCAGCCATAACCTTCATTATATAAGGTATAATGAAGTAAGATGACACTGACTTAATGGAATGGAAGCTGGTTCCAGGTAGTTTGATTCCATGCTTCCTTAGTAACACATGAAAATAGGCTCCAGAACTATGATGCTGAAGTGATAATTAGTAACATAATCAAGTCTATCTCAAAAGTTCTG